TAAGGAAATAGAAGAGAAGTGTAGTGAATTCTTATGGGGTATAGAGGAAGGATCTAGCAGAACTAAAGTTGTGGTAGCTTGGAGATCTGTTGCAATTCCCAAAGAGTAAAGAGGTATGGGAGTTAAATGTCTGAAAACTTGGAACGTAGCCTGTACAACTAGACTGATCTGGAATATCTTAACAAAAGGAGGGCCTTGGTGGGTAGCTTGGATCTACAGTTATCGGATAAAAAGACAGAACCTTATGGGAGCTCAGACCTACTAGCTCTAGTCCATGGATATGGAGGAGATTGCTAAAGGTTAGAGATAAAGTGGAACAGTTTCTCACATGCTGGGGGACTCAGGTTTTTTCCAAAGACAAGAGAATGGCTACTTACTTAATCAAAACTTTACGGATGGATCTCCAACTAGCAAGACCAAAGTTAGCTGGTGTAAATTAGTCTGGACTAAGGTCTCTATTCTTAGGCATAGCTTTCTCTGTTGGTTGGTAACGAATGACATATTAGCTACTCGAGACAAGCTTAAGCTCTGGGGAAAGGTAAATGATGATTGCTGTTTTTTTTTTTTTTTTGGAACAAGGCAGGAGAATAGGGATAACCTCTTCTTCACCTACTCTTACTCCTACAATTTTCTCAAGGGTTGTCTCCAAATGTTGCTTGTAAATTTCCCACAACATATGCAGTTTGTTAATTATCTTAGTTGGGCAATTCAGAGGTTTGCAGGAAAAAAGCCACAGGCAGTTTTAGGGAAGCTGTTATGGACTCTATAGATAAGTATTCTATGGAGAGAGATGTGCTCGAGCTTAAGGAGGAAAACATTAGCCTTATGGTGAGCTGGTCAGATCAGCAAGGAGAACGTTAGAAATAGCTCGGTTGGGCAATTCTTGTTTGGATGGCATCTGTAATCAAGTTTTGTTGTAGAAAGTAGTTGTAGAAGGAAGTTAGATGATAGTGGTGGTGTCCCGGGCTAGTAGAGTATATAGTAGCAGCAGCTATAGGTCTGCAGCAAAACTTATGTACAAATGTGTAACTTTTGTAGTCCTCCAAATTTGGGGGCTACCAAGAGCTTAATAAGATTTTTGATTCTATATTGAGGGAGTTGGAGTGAGAGCGTCAAGTTTTCAAGAATTCTATATTGAGAGCGTGAACAGAATGTCAATATTCTATTATTATTAATTATTTTTATAAATATATTAGACAAAAATAATACTTTCTGATAATAAAAAAATAAAATACAACCAATAAAATTATAAGAAAGTATCACAAATATACTTCTCTCCTTTATAATTATGCTTCCTATTTCTATAACTTAGGGGTCGTTTGGAAGTTGTGATTGTTATAGTTGTGTTTGTTGAATACATGTATTATGCACAATACAATGTTTGGAAGTGCCAAAGTGTTAAACAATGCATGCATTGCTTTAGGTAGATCCCACCAAAAATCACAAAAACTGATGCATTATACAATATCAACTAAAAGTTGAGATTGTTGTGATTGTTGGTTTTAGATTTGTGTCAACCTTTTCTTTCCATTTATATCCCCAATAGTTTTTGTCTTATTCTAAAAGTTGAGGGTAAATGTGACATTTCCCCATCAAAGTAACTTTATGTAAATCAATGCATAAAATAGAATCTCAACAACCAAACAATGTATTGTTAAAATGCATCCATTGTATCAATACATGCATTTATATTATGGTGATTCATTACAATGCAATGATTTAACATTCGCAACTTCCAAAGGACCCCTTAGTTTCTTTGACCACTCCAATCTATTTTTCTGCTCAATTATGTAAACCTACAACAGACAACTGATCCAACTTAAGTTTACCTATTAAATAACCTCAAATGAGATTTTTTGTCATATGTGTCAAGTTTATTTGACATGTAGGTTCATTCAATATTGCCACATACTCTCATCACCGGTCATAAACCAAACATGAGTTAAATAAACAACCAAGCAAGTCCAACAAGCATTAGTTGAGAACGTAAAAGGCCACCATACATGGCCTTCCTGCTAGTGACCTCAATAGATGGTAGCAAAAGTCAATCCCAACATGTGGCAGGGAGAACAGGGACGCTTGGAAATAAGGAAGCAAGGGAAATCAGTAGTGCTTGAGAAACAGAGCAATTGAAAACACGGGAGAAAGAAGATAATCACAAATCAATATCACTAACTGCCCAACGAAAGTGCAAAGCAATAGAGTTGACTATTGAGGGAATCAAACTTCGCCATCTATTTTGGCTTCTTGTCTTCTTCACTTTCTTCCCCTATTCCCCTTCCAGACTCCAGCTACGAACCCCCTTAGAAGTTAGAAGTAGAGAAGAGACAACCAGAAATCCCCATTTTGACTCTCGGTGGAAACTAAAATGAAAACTCAATGTCGAGCATATGTTTCACCCAGAGTCCCAACCCGTCTTGGACCCGCTTCAGCGTTGCTCTGCTCGGCACAATTGATTATCCCCTTCCACAAATTTCTGGGACAAGCTTTTACATGTTTAGATTGGCGCTCTTAAAAATTCAATCTGCGCTCCCAAAAACAAAAGTACGCGAATTTATCGTGGTTTGTCTGCAATCCGCGTTTTCACGCACTGGAGCGGGGACGTGGAGGTCAAGCCCTCGAATTTGGTGACCTAAATCAGTCCTCGGCCAAAAGTCCGCCAAGAACTCTCACGCGAGGGAGTGGATTAGATACACAGCCTTCTGGTCAATAACCATGCATAATCCAATTTGAATCCGCCACATCAGCTCCCCTTCTCTCTCCTGAAAAGCTTTTAATTTTTTCCCCCTTATTCTTTAACGAACGATTTCTCACTCGTTTTAAGTTGGAATTTAAATTTTTTGCACAATTAGATCACATTAATTGTACTCATCAAAATGATATCCACTTTGATATATTTTTGGAACGAAAAAAATTGAGTCATTTTTTACCAGTCTATACCATATGGTATTGACTAGTATTGAAATAAGAGTATACCATATGGTATGAAAATCGTAATGGTGTTATGAACATGCCAAGACAATAGGATGGTTGAATACATATACATAATAGTATGAGTACACTAACTGTCATTTATGCCTTTCAACACTGTGTACCACAAGATACCACCTCGTACCAGGGTGGTATTTTGTGGTATTTTTTGGTCATGTATTTTGTTCACCTAGAAATTTGTAGATCCAATAGATCATGAGGAACTCGTTTCTTCTATGCAAAAATTTTCAAAACCGACTTAAACGAAAAAGATACCATATGGTATGTTATTGGTATGAGAGGCATGAATTTTTTTTTCTAAAAAAATATTGAAAATGGATCTCATTTTTTGAGCACAACAAACTCGTTCCATCTGTGCAAAAATAATTGAAATCCGAGTTAAAACGAAAAATATATGAGCCAATTAAGAAAGCTAAAGAAAATAAAAATATATTTAATTCTCCATGTTTAAATCTGAATTTTCTGTATGAAGAGTTCAAATTTAGTTACGGATGAGTGCATCATGCACTCTATTTGGAGCCTTTACACAAGACAGGCTAGAGAGAAGAAAAAAAAAAAAAAATCTTTCTTCGGCTTCGATTTGGGCTGAGAAACGGTTTGTTTCAATTTCCAAACAAATGGTGGACATTCTGAAATGGGCCGACACAAACAAATGTAGCCCAGACATTAATTATCCTGATCCACTTCCCGCCTCCGCCCTCTCGCTCCTGCCGTCTCCGTCGTCCAATTCAACCTCCCATATTTCCTCAGTCCCTTCTGCTACCAGCTGATAGAAACCCCTGCTCGTATTTACCGATCATGAGCTAGTCATGTAAAATTTTCGTGTGCTTCCATCATTTTTAATTCATAAATTTTCACTCAACGGAGTTACTGCACGAGGAGATATTGTTGGTTCTTAATTCGCGCCTTCTCATGATGCAGTTTTTTGTGTTTGAACCTCAGTTCCACTTAAATTCATGAAAATCCATTTCCATGTCAGAGGAAGTTCGAAGATTGACCCTGGTCTTGGATTCTATTAACTATACTGTTTATGCAGTGGCTGGGCAATGACCATCAATTGTACGAACGTATTCACTATAAAGATCAAAGCTTTCATGCGCAAGTATTGAGATTTCTTGTGCCCGATGTAGATAAAAAGTTCATGCTAACAGACATTTTAGAGTGGCGCATCGGTTGACGCATACCATTCACCATTTCCTTCTGTCGTTGGAATGGATACATTAAGTTACTTACAACCCAGTTTCGGCAACTTGCAAACGAACTATGCTTCTGGTAAATTTTACTTCCTGGGGAATTTGTAAGTTGATGTATGTGCAAAATATGCAATGAACTTCGTAAAATGGGTATTTGAACTTGTGCTAGCCTAAAGGTTTGGAGACTACTGAACTTGGTGAGAATAAAGTCTCGCTCTTGCTCAAGGAATAGAGTTAACCTGCTTGTCTGTCTCGTTAAAGAAAGCATCCTGTACTATGCAAGAACGAGATTATAAGAGTGGACGATTTGCTTAAAATGTGTGGGATGACATCAGCTAGAGATGCTGCCATTGCTGTAGAAGCTGGAGCTGATTTTACGCGGATCTAAACAGTATTTCTAGTTGGCCCCTGGAATCGTAAAATTGAAAGTTTAAAGATTTGGATTGTGATTTTAATAGCTTTGAGTTAGTAGTATTTCAATGCCTGAAGATACCTATGCAGAAAACCCAAAGAAGAGACATAAGATTGTACTCCAAAGAACTTCAAAAATTATAAATCACAGAATGTAATGTCGTCAAAGTTATTGCAGCTGGTTCTACAAATCATCAGCAGAGACTGATTCTTTTCACATTGAGAACAAAAGAGAATCAAAATCTGCATTGAAGAAACAGCAAAAATAGACAGATGATTGAAAAGTAGTGATAGACAAGAGTCTGGAAAAAGAGGAAGACAACATAACAGGAATACATCAGTCGTTCTGTTTCTTTTATATATATATATATATTATTTGTACAAGAAAACCAGTCAGAAGTTCATTCATGGAGAGAGCTCGTGTACAGAAGTAAGACTAGGCTCCCAGCTCAAACCTTTGAAACTTCTCGACCTCGGAAGAGGAGGGATGAAAGGTTGTCTTTTTCTAGACCTCACGTTCATCGTCTTCCTCTCCGAACACCTCGACCACATATCCTTTGAAGCATAGAAATCTCTTGCACGACAGACATTCTCCTCCTCCGAAATATCTTGTTCATCCCAAGTTATGTTCGCACCAGATCTGGTGTCTTCACTGTCACAAAGTTCCAACCTTTCTTTTGTCGTCGTCCCATGATGACGATGATGTCTTCTGTGATGCTTCAGTTTCTCAGCTGTGGTTGATGGAATGATCAGGTACTTGTTGCCAGGCAACAGATTCTCTTCTGGCCACAGAATGGAATCTTCAGGATTCTGGAAAACATCTTGCCTGGCGACATGAGTCCCTGGGTACTTCTCCATGACTTGCTGTGCTGAAAGAGCATACTGGAAACTCTCCTCTTTCCCCCCTGGATGAACTATCCTCACAGAAACGTCCTTGGAGTTGGCACTGAATTCTAATGAAACTGAAACTCCACCGCCTGTTAATTCCTCTGTTGTTAGCTCATGCTTTCTTCTTTTGGACTTTTTCCCACTGTCCAGCAAGCAACAATAACCCGTCACCATTTCTGCCAGCCTGCAATCCCCCAGTTCGAATACGTCTCACTTATGCAGTACTAATTGAACATATTATTATCCAATGAGAAGGTGAATATCACTAGAAGAATGAGATTTGATGAAATCAAGCTATAGCCTTGGGATTCAACGACCAACAACAAGAAACCTGATCTTTGTCTTGTTCCCCCAAGCGTGGATTTCAAAGTTTAATGGATAGGAAAGGAGTTTGCGAAGAAGCCACGCTTTCTTTTGGACAGGGACAACTTTTCATGAGGTGCTGGAATTTGGAGTGATGCAAGACAAATGCATTCTCTTGCTACTATCATACTCCCACAAGCCTGACAAAACTTGGCGCTCAAGCTTCTTCAACCTTCCATTGATCCAGTTGTTGTGAAGAACAAAGCAGCTTTTATTCATGCAAGCTTCTCTCACGTTGGGCTTCTCCCAAAGGTCTAAGTATGCACCATTGGGGAAGAGGTTTCTGTCCAAGAAATGAACAGTGACGTTCGTTACTGGTTCCAGACATCTATCATCACTGATTCGGTTCAATCCACCTTCCCCACACAACACATCATAGAAGATTGGCTGCTCAGAAAGGGTTGATGTGGATGCATGATTCACTACCTTTTCGATAGCAGCAATAGTTGGAGCATTAGAACGAGCAAAGGAGAAGCCAGAGTTCAGACGTCTAGGCAAGTTTATAGGTCCTGTTTGGTTGTATTCGTCAGACTGAGCAAGGGTGGTTGGACCGAATGAGCGAACATATTGAACTGGGTTTTCGAACCAGTAGACATCTACATCACCGAGAAGTACATTGTAACCCATCTTCAGTATCTTCATAACAATTCTGGATTTTACTTTTGTGACCTTCTGGAAGCAGTTTGTTCCGAAGTGGCAATCATTGAAGCTGATGTTACTTGGTGCTGATAGATCATGGAAAACAGGCAAACCCTAGAAGAAGAACAACAGTTTTACAGTTCAGGTACATATGGCAAACAGTATTTTGGCAAAGGAGAATGCCAAATTAAGTATGTTGCACCAAGATTGGATCTGTGAAAATTGTAGCTAAAGCAACTACAACAAGTTATCTCCATCACTGCTCATTAGGGGATATACCCACAGGGGACAACTCAGTGTTCTCTTTCGTTAAAGGGATCTGTTGCAAGCCTTCCCTGGCTAAGGGAAACTAAGTAATAGTTAATTATTACTCAATTAATAGACGTCTCAAGCTCTCCTCGTCATCAGGCGTTGGAGAGTACAATAACATCCACACAACAAAATGATAAAAATTCGGTTTACTTCTTCACTAGTGGGCTCTATTGCGGCCCTGGTTGCTTATGTTAATTGATATCCTCTGGGAGTGACTACCAAGATCAAAATCCATTATTCCTAGGGAGTAGGGACTTACTCAACTTTATTGTCGTCACGGCCATAACAGACAATACTATTTACCAAGTAGCGTTATCAATGAAGTTCTAATTCATCACAAAGCCAACCATAAACCCGAGTCTCAACCATAAAAGAGAAATTTAAGGCAACAGATCAGGTTAACCCTCAATCCAATAAATATGAGCAAAAAATGAGACACAATTCCTTACTCTATGAGACATAAACGCAAAAAGGTTGAGATTTTGAGTAAAAACATACAGAATGAAGCATACCTGTAAAACAGAAAACTCATAGGTTTCTTGGTCCAAAGCACAAATGATGAAGTTGGTGATCCTCAAGCTGCGTAGTCTGCAAACCCAACTCATCAGCATGTCCTTGTAACTGTACCCAGCAATAGCAAGCACAACTGTTTGTGTCTCATCAGCAGCTATTGCAAGCAGGGATTCCAATGAGGCCTGGTATCCCAATGGCTGCAAATTCCTCAACTCAACTCCTACCGAGCAATTCAACATTGACTTGCTGAATTTGATATGTTCAACACAACCCATCACTCTCTTCCTTTTCTGTGTAGCCAAAACCCTTCTATTCCTCGCTATATGGTCAGTGCCATCAATGAAAAGATATTGGTCATCACATTTCATAAGCTTTGCCAAGGTGGAATAATTAATTTCATGGAAGAGCAATGACCCACATATAGTGCCCCAAGGTGTAAGTTGGCAACTGCCTCCCAGCTTCTATTCTCCATAGCTAAGCTACTACCGGGCTTCTCCATTCGATCAGGCTTGTTAAGGAACTCTCCTCTCTCCCACTCTTCCCACGTCCGACCCCTTGTAACAGACGGATTGAAATGTAATTAGCCATGACTGGGTACCAATTTGTAATAAGCCAGGACCGACTATAAGTAGTCAAGCGTCCTGTGTCAGAAGAGAATTAGAGAAATAAAACAATCTTTCCCTCCCTTTTCTCTCTCTCTCTCTCTCTTCCCCTTTCTTTCTTCACTTTCCCTTCTGTTCCAGCTGTGCCATAGACAAGAGTATTCCTCTTCCTTGCATCTTCTCTGTATTTTCCAGAATCAACCACTAGAATACTCGTCGAGAGTCCGATCCTTAGCGCTGGGACGTTACAACTTGGTATCAGAGCTCTCTCTCGACCGAATGGCTACTACTCGTACGGAAGAACGGCTGGTCTCCCTCACCAACCGAACGGTGGCGGTGGAGACGAATCTGCAAGAAATTGGTGCTAATCTGCGCGAACACACTACTCTGATGGATGAGCACATGACTTCGACGGCGGAGCGTTTTCGCGCTCACGACACTCATCTTCAGGACTTGGCAACAAAGGCGGATGGACATTCCGTTCAGCTGGCTACACTCAACACTCGTATGGTGGGGTTGGATCAACGGTTCGATGAGGTGATGCGGCGCTTGGATGTGCTAGGTCAACAACGACCACCGGTCGTCGTTGCTGCTGCGGAGGCTCCGCTGGTGGAGCGGAACGACGGTCGAGGTATCCTGCCGAATCCGCCTGTTCAGGGGATCGGTCCTATGGTCCGGGAGGTTACTCCGGATGATCCTCGACCACAGCGTGCTCCCGTACAGGTTAATCGAGTTGCAGATCTGGAGCAGTTTCTTCCTAATGCGAGAGGTAACAATCAGTATCAACTCCGCGTTTGGATTTTCCAATTTTTTCTGGTGAGAATCCTCGGGAATGGATTAGGAAGTGTGAAAAACTTTTCGAGATCTACAGGATTCCTTTCGATCATCGCGTGAGTCTGGCTGCCATTTATTTTGATAGACGAGCTGATTTGTGGTATGAAGGTTGGCAAGTAGGTCGAGCTGAGTTGCTATGGGAGGAATTTGTTCCTGCCTTTTGTCGAAGGTTTATTGATTGGTCTTATGGCGGTGTAGTGGGAGAATTTAACAAACTAAGGCAGCGTGGTTCGTTGGGAGAATATCAAGAGAAGTTTGAGGAGTTGAAATCACAGATGATGCGGTACAATCCGGCTTTAGATGAAGAGTATTTCGTGTCTAGTTATCTCAGTGGGTTGGAAGAAGAACTGCGACCGGCCATATCCATGTGGCAATCACAGTCCCTGGCTCATGCTTTTCAATTGTCTAAGCTGGAAGAAATGTCGAATGAAGCTCGGAGAAGGAAGCTCAGGGGAGCTGTGTCTCGTCCCGTTCCAGCAAACGTGGCCAATGCTGGTGCTCCAAACCGAAGGTGGGAAGCTGCTAAACCTCCAGGTTTGCCTAAGAATAATACTGCAGCTGCTGGTCCGAGTAGGAATTCTGGCAATGCTAATCCTGCAAAAGGGACTTGCTATAAATGTGGGGATCGCTATTTCTATGGTCATGTGTGTGATGCTAAACGTCAGCTTAACTCTCTGTTAGCCGACGAGTTGGGTGTAGTGGCGCATTTAGATTGGAGTGACGATGAGAATGGCAGTGAGGGGTCAGAGGGATTGTTAGAATTACCTCTTCAGGAACCTGAGGAAGTGTTGATGCAGGCTCTTGGCAGCGGTGGCAAGGCTAATTCACTGGTGGTCAAAGGCAAGGTCAGGAAGTCCAAATTATTCATTCTCATTGACACTGGCAGTACACATACTTTTCTTAATGAGGTTAAAGCAGCTGAATTGAACTGTGTGTTGGAGTCAGCAGAGCCTTTGAGGGTACGGTTGGCTGATGGAACTGTGCTTATGAGTACACAAATCTGCAAAGGGTTCAAGTGGGACATGCAGGGTCATTCTTTCTCGTATGATGTGAGAACTCTTAAGCTGGGAACAAATGATATGGTGCTTGGTCTTGATTGGTTGCGAACCATTAGTCCGGTCAAATTTGATTTTGTTAATCTACAACTGTTCTTTGATCTTGGGGGTACAGAGGTGGCTTTAAAGGGGATTCAGGAAATGGGTGAGTGTAAGGCTATGACAGGTAAGGGTATACAGAAATACTTGAGACAGAAGGTGCCAATATGGGCAGGGCAGTTGTTTGCATTGCAAGTTGAAAGTCCTGTTAAGCAAAAGGTGCCTTCCTTCTTGGCTCCACTTATAGCACAATACGCTGATGTGTTTGGGAAACCCACTGCACTACCTCCTGCCAGGCACTGTGATCATCAGATTCCCTTACTTCCAGATGCAAAACCAGTTAACCTCCGACCTTACAGGTTTTCACTACCCCAAAAGTCTGTAATGGATAGGTTGGTAGATGAAATGCTTGCTGTCCAGTACATACAACCGAGTAGAAGTCCCTTTGCCTCCCCTGTATTGTTGGTATTGAAGAAGGATGGTTCTTGGAGATTCTGTGTGGACTATAGGCAGCTGAATTCTATGACTATAAAGGATAAGTTTCCTATTCCAGTTATCGATGATTTGTTGGATGAATTGAGAGGGGCCAAGTACTTCACGAAGTTGGATTTGTTATCTGGTTATCACCAGATCAGAATGCACGCACCGGACCAGTACAAGACTGCATTCAGAACTCATAAAGGCCACTATGAGTTCATTGTTATGCCATTTGGACTTACCAACGCCCCAGCCACATTTCAAGCATTGATGAATGAGATTTTTTCACCCTATCTCAGGAAGTTTATTTTGGTATTCTTTGATGACATCCTTGTCTACAGTCCCACTCAGGAAACTCATGTGGAGCATTTGCAACTGACTCTGGAAGTCTTGAGAAAGAACACACTTTATGCTAAACCCTCTAAGTGCTCATTTGGCCAGTTGCAGGTGGACTATTTGGGCCATGTAATCAATCAAGAAGGGGTGTCAACATATCCCAGTAAGGTGGAAGCCATGGTATCATGGCCAGTGCCTACTTCTATCAAGGGGTTGAGGGGTTTCCTAGGTCTTACTGGTTACTACAGGAAGTTCATAAAGAACTATGGGCTGATTGCTAAACCACTGACTGATTTATTGAAGAAAGAAAGGGGAAGAGAGAGAGAGAGAGAGAAAAGGGAGGGAAAGATTGTTTTATTTCTCTAATTCTCTTCTGACACAGGACGCTTGACTACTTATAGTCGGTCCTGGCTTATTACAAATTGGTACCCAGTCATGGCTAATTACATTTCAATCCGTCTGTTACACCCCTTCCCCTCTCAAGAGCTACGGCTCTCCTCTCTTTCCTTTACTGTCCCAACTCTTTTCCCCAACCCTCTGCTTCTTCTATTCTTCTACTTCATCAATTCTTTTCCCACACCAATCTCCCAATTCTGATTATTGATATCATTCTGAAGCCCTAGGTATCCACAGTTCTAACATCGAGCTAGCATCAAAGACAAATCTCAGTTCGGAAGCCACAGCCTCATTAACAAGCCAATGGTTGTGAATCCCCTTACCAAACAAGAAAGGGAGAAGGGCTCCATTGTGTAAAGGCACATTTCCCGAGTTCCAAGCCATAAGCATACTCCTATCTTCACAGTGCCGATTCTTGCCAAGCAACTCCTGCAACTAGAAGGAATTAAAAGTGGTGTCAGCATGCTGATTCAAGGGTGTTTCCAGTTTTCTGTCTGAACTAGTATCTTTGAATTCATACCTCATCAAGTTCCAACCTTCTGCCATTTTCTATAAGCCAATGTTGGCCGTCAACACCCAGTTTGAATGGGAAGAAGGAAGTGTCTAGTAATGAATTAAGCCGCAAGAAGCCAGTTACGGTCGAGCTTGTGAGCAAAACTCAACGTGGGAACAAGATCAGGCGGAAGAACAGTTTGTGAATCTACAAAGACAATAATATCTGTATCGAATGCCTGTGATCTTTCCACCATGGAATGAAAGAATGGCGTCCCAAAGAACCTTTCAAAGAAGCACCAAGCAACAAACATGTTGCCCAGATAAGCAAATTACTAGCATTTCCAATTTCAGCAAAAAAGGAAGCAGAGTTTGAAATGATAGCTTACGTGAAATCAATGGTGGAATCAATCAAAACTCGTGGGCAAAACCCCGAGGGGAAAAAACGAATAGAAGGGTGTTGGCTCAACAGAACAACTGTATATTGAGGAGACAAACCAAGCCATGAACGAACAGCAAGGCTTTGTTTTGGACCAATGGAGGTAGTAGCAGAGAATACAGTGATCTTTGGATTGTGTAAATCCATTGAGTCCCATCCGAATTAAAGCCAGGTCTTAGTGATCGCATCCTGAAGTGAAGGTAGCTTGCGGATAGCATATATGGAGAGAACAATAAGCAAGGACCCATATAATCAAAACCACCATATACCCACTCGCAGAGGCTGTTGAACAAGAAAAAAGAAGATGGAAAGTTACAAACTTTACGAGGTAAGAGACTAAGAGGGGAAACGGGGAAGGGATGAGAAGAGAGAGGTGAAAGTTGAAACCTTCATTGTTCTCTGTAACGGGGAATGGCGAAAATAGGGTCAAAATGATTACAGGAGGTATATATACAATTTAAACCCTAATCCATGCTCTCATCAAGTCTACGTATGCATGGATATATGGGCTAGGGTACGGGACTTATGTACATAAATGGGCCGAGCCCTATACAGGTCAACACCACTAATATCTGGATTTGTAATGATTATCTGTGCGTTACATTTGTCCATCCTCACGTCAATGGACACTAAAAACTGCAATCTGACTAAATTGAGATTTTAAAAACGTCTATTAGATCAGCTTTTGGATCAAACATCCAACAAGGTAGCCAATATCAATACACAACTATGGCGAGAATAGAAATGCCCATTCAATCTAGAAGCAAGCAACCTTAAGGACTCGTTGTACAATTGAGACGAATGAGACTGTGCAACTTGAAGTCAGCTACCAACTCAGCAAACCATGAAATTGAAGGCGTAGAGTAGGCACGGGAACGGGGCGGCTGAGGCAATATAATCGGGCTGCATGGGCTACTAAATAAGCCTGCAATATTATTGGGCTTTTTGCATGCACTAACACTACATTATTTACAAAATGACATTCAATGATAATAATCGATTGCCTCCCCCAAATTGATGTCGGGTCACAAGCATCAATTTGTCAGACAACAAGCAATGTCGGCTCGTAGAAAAGGTCTTCGTAAGCATATCAGCCACCTGTTCTTCAGTTCTAAGGTAGTGTAGTGCAATTGTGCCATCCCTGACTTCATCTCGTACATAGTGCACATGTACTTCTATATGCTTGGTTCGATCATGCAGAACAAGATTTTCTGCTATACGGATGGCACTCGTATTGTCAACAAAAAGATCCATCGGTCCTGTAATTTCAACTCTCATATCTTGCAATAAGCATCCCAGCCAAGTCAGTTCAGAAGTGACATCCGAAATTGCTCGGTATTCAGCCTCTGTGGAGGATTTGGACACCTTGTCCTGTTTCTTACACTTCCATGATATAAATGAATTCCCGAGCTGAACACACCATCCCGTAGTAAATTGCTGAGAATCAACACAACCTGCATAATCAAAGTCTGAATAGGTTCGCAGAGTAGCCTTCCTAGACGATGGAAACATGAGTCCTAGCTCCTGGGTTCCACACAAGTATCTCGGTATACGATAAACAACAGCTAAATGTTCAGTCCGAGGATCTGCAATAAATTGACTAACCAGCTGCACTGCATACGAGATATCTGAGCGAGTTGCTGAAAAGTATATCAAACTACCTACAATACTTTGATACTGTGAACCATCCTTTACCTTTGCCCCTGACTCCTTGCTTAATTTCGGATTAAGTTCCATCAAAGTATTTACCGGTGCACAGTCTTCCATGTTGTAGTCACCCAATAGATCTGTGATATACTTCCTCTGACATAGAAAGATTCTTGCTGCAAAACGTGATACTTTGAGCCCTAGGAAGTAAGAAAGCTCACCAAAGTCTTTAATTCGAAAGGCTGCCTGCAACAGCAGCCGTATGCCTTCAGAATATGATCATGTAATGATCATATCATCTACATACAACAAGAGAAGAACAATACCACGAGAGGTGGTCCTGATAAACAGTGAAGGATCATTAAGACTTTGGCAATAGCCAAAACCTAACAGCGTGCCCTGAAAATTCTCAAACCAAGCCCGAGGTGCCTGTTTCAAGCCATATAGAGATCGGCGAAGTTTGCATACCTGTCTTGGATTTCCAACATTATACCCTAGAGGTTTTTCCATGTAGATCACCTTATCCAGATCATCATGTAGGAAAGCATTTTTCACATCAAGTTGAGACAATGTCCAATTCTTCATAGATGCTAAGCCAGAAGTGTGTGAACAGTCGACATACGAGCTACAGGAGCAAATGTCTCATTATAATCCACCTGTGCTCCTGAGTATACCCCAAAGCTACAACTCTGGCCCTGAAGCATTCAATAGTGCCATCACGGTGCATCTTAATCGTATACACACACACACCGATCATATCAAACATAATTTATATTCACTATTTCTCTCTATCATTGAAATTATATCTTCATCTGAACAACCTTTTCCCCCCTCAAATCGTTATTATCTCCATCACCAAGTATACTAAATACCAAGCACCAATTAAATATTTGCAACTGTCGACATAACATGGAACATGAACCTAAATTTATAAATCGATAGCAATGAAGTACAATATTTAGTTCAAAACTAAATATTTTAGTGGGTAGGATGTTCTTTGCTCGAATGAATTTGAATTAAAAAAAGAATGGAAGAGTAAGATAATGTTACCTAGAGGGTTTTTTTTTATGTTGTTATAAATTCTCACAAAATACTCAACGTATCATTTGTAAACTTTTTCGTTTATAGATTTCAATTATTTAGATTAGAATAAGAAAATATAGTCCGTCCAAAATTTGTGAGAGATCGAAAAAACTCTTAGCTGCAATGCTTGAGATCCGTGCTTAAATTAGAGTTGTCAAGGGAAACAAAGAAGGTTATGTATCGAAACTACAACATCATTCCTTATTTTGAAAATGTATAATGGATATACATCACTCTAAAATTGGAGATACCATTAGCAATTAAATATTAATTAAACCGAGTTTCAACCTTCTCAAACCTTTATTTTCAATTTATTTATCTCTTCCAATATTTTGGTGGAGATAGATGACCGGGTTTAATCTTTGACGCTCATCAGAGAAGGCGGTGCATCTCCATCACTTTTTTCGCAAAATTAATTACTATGAAATCATAATTTATTTTTGCAACTCTAAATTTATAATAAATAAAAAATACTAATCCAAATGGCATGAAGTTGCCAACCGGGCCTCACTATTTCCCACCAACGAAATTGGGGAGGTGGATAGTGATTGCAATGGGGCGGGGCAGGTAACTCAATACCCATTCCCTGCCCAACGTTACTATGAGTCCGGCGGGACAACCCAGTCTTACATGTTATTTGAAAAAAATTGACCCAAAATTTATTATTTATGATAAAACGAATGTGAAAACACTTTATAAATGAAAAATAGTGATAACAAAATGGATAAACGAGTCTAACAAGTTGAAAGATCGACTCTAACTAGTTGAAGAAAAGTCAAAATATAAGAAATATGTACAGATAATTTTAGAAATTAAGATAGAATAGGCCAAAAACGAGGCGAGGCAAGTCGGGTTAGAAGTAGATATTCATGTCCTGCCCCACGCTACTGCAGGTTGAGTAATACTCGACCCATAACGAATCAGGTTGGATAATATCACGGGACTGGTTCGAATTACCATCCCTAATGATGTAGCTGATAAAATCAACCTCCCACTCCACCACTTCCCTACCCAATAATAGCGTAGGATAGGAGGCACATGTTTCTTTAGAACTGCTATCAAGAAAAGGAAGAATCCAATGGAACATCTCTGTTACATTCCTCCTATTGTCCTACATAATTTCGTAGAAATTGCAATTAAAGAGTAGACAACAAGAAGGAACAGAGAGTGAAGAGAATTCAGGAAGAATATTTCAATAGTGTTTCTTGAATATACCTCTAGATAAATGCAAGAAGATTAAACTTTAAAGTAACTTTCTACACCTATTCTTGATCCCCTCCATATAACCAATTTCATTGCTGAGGAGAACAAAAGAAAGTGAGCGAGTAAAATGCATTCCTCACCCGCCCATACAACAGAGCACCCATGAAATGCAAAATAATTATTTTCCAATCATGATCATGCTGCCAAGACTTGATTGTACAGTTAATGTACTTATGTACACATTGTCACAAAATTAAAACCAACTTTTGCGGAACCCATTTTTCTCAATCTTGAAGGTGATGATCAGGCAAACACTCTTGTGGATTTGTGTAAAAGTAGTCTTCATCCTTTGGCTTTCCAGGAATCTCCAACCTCCTAGTTGGCTGTCCCATCTTATCCGAGTGAGCTTCCTTCATTGCTGTCGAGAATTCATCCCAACTCATGTCTCCATTTGTGTACCGATCAACCAACCCCACAATAGCCTTCCTGTCCAGCAATATAGTCTTCCTATGCCCTAAAAACCTAGCACACAACAACAACAACAACAAAACAACAACAAAAAAAGAACAATGTAAGAAACCTTTTCATTGTTTTATCCTTGACTCATCTAGTTGATTACCTTCTATGGCCTTCAACAACTTTGGCCATGTTCCCGCCATATGTCGGAGCAAAAATGTCAGCCTCGACGGCCACATGGTAGTCCAATGCAGCCATCTGGTTGGAGTGGTTCCAAAACGGCGCCAGGTCTTTCTCCGGGAGCAACGTCTCCTTCTTAACCAGCCTCGGAAATGCTTCCCTCAGGCTCGCCAACCTCCTCTCCCCTCCATAGATGTCTCCCGCCGCGATGTAGATTTGAATCTTGGGGTGAACATCCAGCGCTCGAAGCGCCATTGCAGTTTCCTCTGGTGTCAGATGGCACAACCCTTGTCGCCTCACTTTCTCCGAGTCGATCTCCTTCACTTTCCACCATGGGTATGCGTACCTCATTGCCGTGAGCTCCTGAATCTCTTGGGCCGAGCATCCTTCGTTGCACCCCGAAAAGGCCAACATGTCCATCTCGTACCTGAGGTGGAGAACCAAGAACGGACCATTGCGCTTGAGAACTCTAACGATTTTCTTGGCAAGCTTCTCGATCGGAGAAGCGAACCTCAACGCCTGGTAGTTGACTCTGCACCTCAGCTTTTGAACTTCCTCTGGAACGCCGTTGTTGGCCAGTCTGGCGTCTGATTTTGTGAGGTGAAGGACATCGAATGACTTGATTCGTGGCAGGATCTAATATTCATAGAACAAGTACGAAATGAAAATCGTCATATTGTACGTGTTCGGTATCTTATTATTATTATTATTATTATTATTATTATTATTATTATTGAGGGTGGAGAACACGTATGAACCTTGTTGTAGTAATATGACATGTTGGACCAACTGACCGGCGCCATAGAGTATAAGGAGCCTGACTCGGCGATCTTCAGCTTTGAGTCTTCAGGCAGTTGTTTCAGTATCTTGACCTCATCTCTTAGAGATTCAATGAAGTAGTCCACGTTGAAAATGTCAGCAAATTGACTGCCAAAATATGTACCGCATTGAAGCATATCAGTTTGACCACACACAATTATTCGAGAGAAAAAAAGTGTGACCACACACAAAAAATAAAATATTGTGCTAATTACGTGACATGCAACAAATGGTGCTAATACATCACAAAATTAAAGGTGCAATAGTAATAGTTATAATATTTATTGTATATACATGCATGATTGAAACGTTCGAAGAGCTTCCAATCATATAATCATTGGTCTGTTCGTTCAGGGTTTCAGAAATTAATTTCAGATCCACTGAGGGGTAGAAGCAGTGATAGCAATAATGGGGCGAGGCGGATACCTCTATACCCATACATGTTGGGTTAAAGTGTTTGTCGGGTTGGGTAATACTTGCAGGGGTACGGAGCGGGTCAACCCATTCTTATGTGTTATTTGAAAAATGAATATCGATATATAACTCGTTTACAAGATTATGTAAAGAAAACACTTGATAAATAAATGAGATATATAATAGAAAGGATTATTGAGTCTAAATAGTTGAAAATTAGAGTCTACAATTTTCTTTGGGATAAAAATATGATTTTCTAAAGGTCAAAAGAGGAAAAAAAAATACATGCATACAAATTATAATAGAACGAGTAGTAACAGGACGAAATGAGTTAGAAGCAATATTCATGTCTGCCCACGTTACCGTGAGTTGGGTAATACTGGCCCCAAACAAGTTGGCGTAAGTCGAAATTCTGATCAGAAATTGCCATCATAAATGTAAGCAAAAATGGTATTATTATTTGCCTTTTTTCGTGGGTACGTACCTCTGATCATTCCAGAAGGAGGTGTTGTCGAGTTGAGGAACAATTAATGTGACATTCAAGTACCTTGCAATGGCCACCATGTCACATATCTGACAACCAAGGCAACATCCAAATTAGAATTGCAGAATTATTGAAAATCGATCTACTGCATTGCATCAATTCTTTTGGTCCAGAATCGTATACACATATAGTAAGATAAAAAAGAAAATTGAAGTTAATAATTACTCCGGAACGCATTTGGTTCAGTCCTCCATTGGAAGATATCATCAAGTATCCATTGCTCTCGTAAACCCCTAAAACCCAATTCCAGAAAACAATCAGTAGGGAAATTCCCGTTTTGGAAATGAACAATATTCGACAACATAATAATGACTTACTCTCGGGAGGGAGAGACTTGTAGAAATCAGAGTCGGCCACATCCCCGCCGCCGCCGCGGCGCAGTGGTTTCCAGTGGAAGAGGACGCAGAGGAGGAGTAACATGCTGATGAATTGAAGGGCCAAATCCCTGAGCTTGGCGATCCGGAGCTTGGAGACGACGGCGTTCTTCATCTTCTCGGCTTTCATCGTGTTGATGAAGTGGAGCTTGTTCATCAGCTTTATCTTGCTGTAGGGCTTCTCGTCGTCGTAGTATGGCTTTTCGTTATAACTCTCCGGCGGTTCCAACTTGTCGCCGTTGGCGACTTCACGGTGGCTGATGAGGCGCTGTTCATGGTGGTGGTGGAGGAAGCCTTCTTCCAATTGCTTGTTCAAATGCTCCATGGCGGTGCTGGAGAAAGAATTAATTGGAGCCAAATACAAACAGATCCAGTTTTTTCTTCTTCTTCTTACAATGGCAATTAGTATTAGAAGTTGATGTGAAGTTATGTACGTGTTCTAAGAGGGTAAGGAAATTTATTTAATTATTATCTTACGATTAGTGAAGGGTGGACGAGGAGAAATAGAAATTTATTTCAAATACGTGATCGAAGTTGGATTGCATGCACTGCCGTGGTTTTTTTTTTTTTTTTTAGATATAAATTGGTATACTACAAAATAAAATTCAGACTCCAATTTTGTATACAAATTTCAAAGATGAATAAAAAATATATTTATATTTAAGAAAAAATCGTATATAAATTTGCATTCAGATGTTAATTTTAGCAAGTAATTTATTAAACAAACAGGCTTGCATGTAGATGTAAATCACCATTCACCAACACGGATTCAGAAGTGATTCGTCAATTCATAATCTTTTATTTTTCATATATTAAATGATTGTAAATATCTGTTTTATGGTATAAATGTTACCATTACTTCCACGAAAAGACGTAAAGATAGGAGTGTGTATTTATTTTTGAAAGATTCTTTTTTGTGTATTCGGGACTGAATTGTGATAGATTCTTATATTATATGCATGCATATTTTGTGCACCAAATTAGAAGGAGGAAGTAATATAAGAAATAAAGGAATTGCAACCAAATGCATATAGATAGTATGCTACATTGAGTTAAACTTTTATGTAAATGACAACCTTTTTGTTGAGCATTTGAATGAGACCGTTTTCACAAATTCTGAAAGAAATGAACAAATTTGGATCGAAATTTGAGCTGATGGCCAATGTTAACGGTCAAACATTTCTTTTGTCATTTATATTAGGCTGAAAAAAATATAGAAAAGGGTAAAATTGAATGTTGAGTCATGGACGGAAGAAATATTTGACTGTTAATATTGACCATCAACCCATAATTTGAGGCCAAATTCTTTCTGTTTTTTTTTTCAGAATTTGAAAAAATTTGGTTTATTTAATATTGTCATTTACGTTAAACATTTGGCCAAAATAAGGTTATTATCTCATCAATATACTGAAAAATATTACTTAATAAATTCTTTTTTGGCAGAGCACGTCAATCACTTTTTTTATTTTTAAGGTTAGAGCACGTCAATCAATCATTGAATTTCACCCCAGACATATATCTGCATAACTGGAAAATAGGTACGTATATTATAACGACTCTATTTTGTGCATTCATAACCAATTGTGATCCTCCACCGTCAAATATTTATTTATTTAGGGTTTTATTAAAGGAGTAAATGAAATTTTCTTAGCACGCAACATTTATGTTATTTTATTTAATGACTGAACTGTAATTTACCCGTATGCTATAACAATTTGGGAGTGATCGATCGAGGTTGCTAATTCCTTCTAAAATCTCATTCAGTCATCAACCTTCACGTGTTTTCCCATAGCTAAGGCTTTATCTATAGACTAGATTGTACCCCGGTCCGTTGGCCGGTTGCAATATGATATTTGTAATTAACGAAGATTCAATGTTTAAATTTCAGTAATCTCCTCTTCTCTTATATATTTGCCATGATTATATGTCAATATCATGTGAATTAACAAATAATGATATTAATTTTACAAAATAGACATCAAGATAGATTTTTGGTTTTTATCATTAAGAAAGTCAAATTTCAATTGCTGCAAATGAGCATCCATAATAAAAATTACTTACATTTGCCTTCTATCCTGATTCTTGTTGAAATTCAAAAAGTGGGACATATGCAAAGGTATACTAACTCATATTAAACTTAATGACACAATATTATAGGTATTTCAATGTAACCCATATAACCTTTTTACCATTAAGAATCATCGACATTAACTTCACTATCTTCATCATCAAACATCAATAGACTATTCTATCTTTTGCAATTTTTTGCAAGGCAAATTTAAACACAAAACATAATCATATATGAAATGTAATTTTCATGACAATTTACATAATTTTAGTCACAAATCGTTGGAAGTTAATTTTTTACTTCATTGATTACCTTTGAAATTGTTAACCCAGTAATGGGATTTGTGATGTTGTTATCACTAAATTTGGAACTTCTACCCTGATTTTTTTTTCTTAAATGCTACATTCCTTCATTTAATGAGATTTGTGACTACTATAACCTTGGGGAAATTCGTCAAATTCCATCGTAATATCGATGAGGACTAAAAATGCGAACTCTCGGTTCAAACGGTGTCGAGGTTCGATATAAATCGAATAAGTTGCGAACGTTAGTTGAGTTGCGGATTAAACTCACCCATAATTTGTGAAATGCCCAAAATACCCCTCGAGTTAATTAAAACCCAACCCTAATTTCATTTATCACGGGGTCTTCATCACCGCCAAAGCGGCCACCCCATCTTCTCCAAGTCGTCCTCATCTCATTCCTTTCCCCTCCCATCGCCGCAAAAAAAAAAAAAAAAAAAAAAAAACTTCTGTCCCAATATATATACAGGAATGGGAGATCCCTTCCTCACTGGTGGAGCCGCCATCCTCTCGATGTGGGGTTCCTCCATTTTTGGTGTGCGATTGGCGACGGAGAAGTAGGAGGAGCAAAGGCGGGATGGGGAAGCAGGAGGCCGGGATCATTAAACAAGCAGGAGGCTGCCATTATTATACAAGCAGGAGGCGGGATGGGGAACAACTGAAGGCGGCTTGCTCGCGGGAGCCTGGTGGCGGTGGGCTTCAGGCAAAAGCGGCGCCATGGAAAAAGGCAATCAATTCCCTTCTCATAAGCAGACTGGAAAAGCCGGACATGGCCGAGTAAGGGAAGTTTAGAGGCCCTATTGATTGGGCCACTCGGACATCGTCATTGATGCAGATGTGTGATGGGTCACCAGGTGTTGCCTCAACCATATTAGCTTTGAAGGTTTAGAACGAACGACAAGGTTGGAGAAACTAAAATGACTAAAGTTTGGAAACTGATTCAAGTCTACCGGCTCGATTTTCAAGGTGAGTGTAAATGGGGTAAATTCTACGCCTTACATATTTTTAATTATTTATTCTACGCGTGATAAGTATTTTTGTGAAATGATTGCTGTCGTTGTTTGATTGTGCTTATGATTGATGATAGGTACGTTGTTTGAGCTATGTTTGATGTGAATGTTCATGAGTCCTTATTTAAATTAAAGCTTTATGTTTATAAGTTATTGTTAAAGTTAAGAAGCAAGTTCTTTTTAAGAAGTAACTCACCTTCAAGAAGGTGAAGTCGTTTTAAGTGTTTTTAGTCACTAGCGCCAGTCCGTTGCCGTTTGAGACATTTTGAGATATAGCAGCAGTTATGCTCTTGAGCCTTTTAAGATGGGCAGCAGTTATGCACTTGAGAATCGTGGTGAAGAGCCACCACGATAAGTTTAAGATGTTAGGGGGATGAATCGTTACGACTCCCCTAACTAAGTTTAAGTTTAAGGAAAGTCTGAATGGCTTCTCATACGTATGAGTTGGCAACCGGACTAGCTAGTGAGGGATCCCCGTGTCAGTCAAGTATTTAAGTCAAGATTTGAGCTTTAAGGGAGGAGAGTAACTTCAACTCCCTCAAAGTTTAAGAGTTAATATTTTAAGATTGGAAGTACATACAACTTCCACCAGTTAAAGTTAAGTGTTTAAGCAAAGTACTCAAGTATAGGAAATATTAAAACGTAAGGGCGTAGACTGACCCCATCTCACTCACCAGTTTGACGAGCTAGAGAACGAGCTAGAGGAGTAGTTAGCGAGCAGCAAGTTCGATGGCAGCCAACTAGAGGAGGGCAGTGCAAGCGTCACGGAGGATGCCTAGTTAAGATTTTCAGTAGCAGCAACGACATAGACTACCTAGTTATTTACATTTTATGATTATGAGTATAGACTGGAGATCAGTTTGAGATTTTAAAGTTTGAGCTTAATTTGCCCACGTGTTAGGGCTTTGCTTTGAACTACAAGTGTGTGTTTTCAGTATTTTATTTATGAAAATTTTTCCTACTGCAATTTAGGATTTGAGTATTTTATTTATCAAGGGCATTTTAGTAAAAGTAGTACCCGGACGGATTAGGGTGTTTCACCACATGGCAGTCGATCTCAATGTGTTTCGTTCTCTCATGAAGCACATGATTTTTTGCTATTTAAATCGCAGATCGACTGTCACAAAACAGGTTAACAGGTTGAGGATGATCAATGCCAATTTCCTGTATTAACCTCTTAACCCAAACAACTTCACATGTCAGCTGAGCTAGAGCCCTATACTCAACCTCGAACAATGATCTAGAAACAGGGGATAATCAATGAAGGTCCAAAGGTAAAACAGACCCTGGTCTGGAGCATTCTCCAGGTATTTAAGAACCCGATATGCCAATTGTATGTGTGTAGTGGTAGGTCCTGCACTATACTGATCTAGTAATTGACAAAGTTGTTGTACAGCAAAGGTAATTTATGGTCTAGTAATTGTCAAAGATGCATTTTAGTATGCTATATAGCACCCATGCTTTAATATACTTAGAGCCATTAGATCTTGTTATAAAATATAAGCCATTGGATTGAAGTTATTTAATTATTATTTTTTCACTCGTTCGAATGGTAACTTGTTGCACTAGTTCGTTACGTAATAATTTTTTAAAAAAATTGAAATCCAGTCGGGGTAAAGGCGATTGAGCTCGTCGGAATTCAGAGCCTCTCTTCTGCGGTGTAATTTCATAGCGTCTCTTCGTCGATAGTGACCGGATTGATTAGCGGCAACGGCGAACCTGCATATGAAATAGTGCGACAGTCACGCTGTGAGAAGAAAGAGATTGGGGGGTTTCAACTTTACTCTTCCACGATTGTGAACTGTGCTCTTCAGCGGTGGGTCTCTTCGTCGATATTGAAGGGGTTGAGCATCGGCGACGGGAATGGTGAGATTGTGTGGTGGGTCTTATCGTTTTTCAACTTTCCTCTCTTGGGATTATGTTTCGCGGTGGGTTTGTCCGTAGATAGTAAAGGGGGTGAGCAGTGGCGACGACAACAAGGACTTGAATTCTGAAGGCGGCAGAGACTCTTTTACTAGGGGAAGACTCAGAAGGAATAAAAGACTCGAAAGCCCAATCGAAAACGATGAGTCAACTGGCGCCCGGCAGGAGAACTTTTGCAATAGCGAGAATTGGGTGATAAAACATTCAATTTCCAATTTGAAACGACGACTCAGTCAGTCATTCAATGTAAGTGGTTGAAATTCTTATCCCCCTTTGATAAACATTCAATTTCTGACATGAATTCAAGTTAGTTTGGGTTAAATATCCCTCTAGCTTCTAGAGCATCTCTTGGAGCAGCTTCAAGTACAATAATGGTGTAACCCATCAAAAAGTTGATCTTGTGGCACCTTGTAATGAATCCTTTAACTTATGCTAGCTTTGAATATCTGACTTATTTCTCTGGAAATGTCAAGTTGTCTACTATAGAATCGGTTGCCAAATCATAGGATGGTTAGTGAGTGGTAGGAAAGTTGATCATGGGATAGCTGAAGAATGGTTCAGAATGGTAAAAGTACAACTTGTAACAACTAGAGGGGTTAAGTTGGCGAGTTTAGTACGATATTGCAGAAAGGTCCTTGTGTGCACGCTCTTAAGGTCGATAATGATGTCCTTTATGCTGATATGGGCGGAGGATCATTCATTACCTGCTGACTTTTGTGATGGGAGGCTCCAAGTTCACAATTACAATTAGAACATATTGCATTGTTTGAAGCGAGTTGAAGTGTTTTAGTCTACTGGTAAAGTCTTGTTGTTGCTTGTTGATGTCCTGGTATTGGTTTAATTGTGGACCTCATAGATGTAGGTTGATGTTGATCGAAATCCTTCTGAAAGCCATTGCAGTTCATCTTGTAGGTCGTCTTATTGTTTATAGAATTATGGGTGAGTAGGTTGATTCTAAACTTGTCATGATAAGTAGCATGTTCTACTTCTACTGGTCTATTTTCCTTGGTGTGGCTGTGTCTCCAGTGGGAAGGGACATGCTGTCAATACAAAAACCAATGTTTTCTCGGAAACAATCCTAATTAGATCAATATGCTAACATCTTGTGTTTGTGAGTCCTGGGAGAGGAGTCCTAATCATATTCCCATTGTGGTTAAGCTAGAAACTACTTGTAGTATGCTTGTTGTGTGGATGTTGAAAAGGGATTATCAAAGCATTCGTCTTCTGTGATTCTTTGCATGAGCTTTTGTGTTGATGTGAACTGAAGCATTAGTCTTATGTGATTCTTTGCATTCATTTGAGCTTTTTATTTCGTTTGAATGCTAGCTCCGTCTACGTTTATGTGATTATTACTTCGGTTTACTATTAGAGCAAGATTGTGATGCAATTGATAGGTTTTGCCGTGACTCATCAAGTGAACCTTGGACTTCATCTCCTCATGCTTAATCATTAGTTCCTACTTTTATGCATTCCAATATTATTTTTCTGATTGGAGACTCATCAAGTGATAGGTTTTGCCGTGATTCATCAAGTGAACCTTGGACTTAATCTCAACCATGCGTGATCTCAAAAAAAGTTGCTCCAATCTGACCTAGCTAGCGATTGTGTTCCTTCCTTTATGCATGCCAGTATTAACTTTTTGATTGGAGAGACTTGATTTGTGTTTTATGGAGGCAAATCGAATGGGAAAGTTCATACTCAAAGTTTGATTCTTTTTCAGTTTGTCTTGAGACAAGTTGGATTGTTGTTTGCCTTCAAACAAAGTCTGCAGAGAAAATTCTGGAAGAGTTTATTTGGTCTTGTTGGTAATGTAGTGTCGTTACCATTGCCTGTTGATTACATTTTGGACTGTTAATGGAAGGGTCTTGCTTGGTTGCATGAAAGGTGCAATTGAGTTTGTTAGTGAAGAATTAGTTCATGAAATCTGGGTGACTTTAGTTTTAGCCAGTTTGGATGGAAATAGAGCGGGAATGGATTAGAGATGATGTGAAGCAAAAGAGATGATTGGTTCCATTTTGGACTATTAATGGAGAAAGTAAAAGGGTTTAATATATCGGTCTCCGGTGTCATCATATGCAGATTGAAGTGTTGGAAAATAAACTTTCATGTCGTTGACAGTTTCATCTTCGTCTTCTGTTATTTGTAAGACCGATATCTTTTTAATAATATGTTAGGGAGAAGTGGAGAACCTTAGAGAACTAAGCTTCTTTCGGTTTATACTTTTGTTCAGTGCTGCTGGGATTGAAGTTCACTCTTGTTATGTGCTACTGGGATTTCTAGGGTTCTTGTGGCAAAAGAGACAGTTGTAAGTTTAAGGGAAGCCCACAAACCAGGGTGTGACTTGGCTCAAGTTCAAGCATAGCAAGCGATCGATTGCAGAGGAACGTGTTGGGAGGAAGTTTGGTGGACTCAAGGTTCTCAATTCTTACTGAATCATCGAGGTATGTACAGTTGGACACTACATTTAACTTCATTATAACTTATATTCAACATAACAATGTAGACTTCAATCGATAGTGTTGATCGATAGACTGAACGAGATTCCCTGTTAGTGTAGCTTATTTTGATGACCAGACTAAACCCTATTTAGCTTATTTTGGTGGCTGCAAAGTTCTTTTCCATATCTCTCCCCTCTTATTCTTGTTGGTGTTATGTTGCCCAAGTTAGTAAGGATATCATTTGAATTTTTCAATGTCAAAGCTTGTTGAGGTTGAATGATATCAGAGATGGGAAAAGGAAGTATCATGTTTTGCTTATCTCATGAAAAGATGTCACAACTGTGAAATTTCCAGAATTAGTCGTGAGAATGTTTAGTGGAATCTAGGGGTGTTCAAATGGTTACCATGGTTATAACCAAACCAAATAACGCTAAATTCCATTAACCATGGAATACAATATCATAACCAAACCGTCCAAACTAATACAACAACCAAATTAACCAAACTAAAGTTTAATCGGTTTGGTTAATTGGTTAACCAGATTAACCAATATAAAAATCACATTATCATTGACGATGAAAATTTTCCGGTTAATGCAACAATTCACAATTTATATAATGAATAAAACATAACAATCAACACGTAGTTATAGTTGACCCTTAACAAAAATACATGCAACTAAGACAATTATCTTACGATCAGTATAGAAGTATTCACCTAACAAAATTTTATGACAATGGTATGGGTTAATGAATTGTTGTGTTTGTGTAAATTGACTTAGTCTCTTACCAATTATCATAGGCTGGAAATGACCTTCCTTTCAAGTTTTCATCCATCATAATGTATGAAATTTATCTAAATTAGGCATTCATATGTTGTGGTCTACACTTTACACATACAAATATACACTATATGAGCAATATTGAGCTTTATATTTTATGAGTCTAAAAGGGATGAATGTTAAGTCTTGAGTGGTTATGCAAAGTATTAAATATGTGTATATAATATATGTTAGATATATGACTAATTACTTAACTGGTTAATTTGGTTTGACTGGTTAGGAGTGTCTGAAACCAAACCAAACCACCTAAACCAAACAAGCTAAAAACTTTAACCAAACCAAACCAATTATCCAAATTAACCAAACCAAATTATCCAAACAGTACCGGTTAAAACGGTTACCACGGTAACCAAACCAAATTATCCAAACAGTACCGGTTAAAACGGTTACCACGGTAACCAAACCATTTGAACACCCCTAGTGGAATCTGGGTGTTTTTAGTTTCACGACTTCTTTTAAAGGCCGTGATTTATTAAGCCAAAGCCGTGAGATTGCCTGGGGATATGACAACTGCTCTTTACTTGTCACGGGGCATGTCACCGCCGTGAGAATTCGAGAATGGACCGTGAGAACTGTTTAATGAAAGCTGACTGTTTTGGGTGAAATTTATATATGCCAATGACAGATTTCATGGTTAATTAGTGTACTCATGTATTGAGGTAGGGGTTTTCAGTTCTTCTGGTAGTTGGAACTTGATACCAAGGCAAGTGTGCTTGTGAGCTTTGGTATAGTCTTGCATTTTTTCAATATTGATAAAAGCCATATATTGAAGAACTCATTACCTGGAGAATGTGTTTACCAAATGATTAAATGATCCTTTTCTAGAATGAAACTGTCATAACCACGTTTTCTAGAATGTGTTTAACTGTGAAAGTTGCTTCTTTAGATCAGTGGAGGACGAATCTGGCTTTGTGTGTTTTGTTTGTACTCTTCGGCATGCTTATAATTCATGTTTCAAGGCATGCTTATTTTTTTGTGGTTTTAATTTTGTAGCTTGTTAAAATTGTTCTATAAAGAAGACAGATGCATGACCTTTTTAGCACGCCATGTTCTCCCAGGAAAGTATTCTCCCTAGTCTCAAATTTAGAGGGTTGTCAATCAGAGGCCATTAAGAGATGTGGCTTTGGTCGGATTCTTGAAGTCAAGGGAAGAATGTTACAACGTGAGTTGTTGGAGAAACTTTTAAATAGCTTTAATCTGGCAGAAAGCACAATTCAGGCGTATGGGTTGAAAGTGCATATTTCGGCCAAAGATTTCCAGCGAATTATGGGTGTCCCCGAGGGAGAGACGGATATTGTCTTGGATGGTGAAGAAGTGGTTGGAAGATTCGAGGAACTGAAAGAATTTAGAGTGTATTCGACTCGTGACTGTGACCGATAGGCGATTTCCACAAGCTTAATGCGAAAGACGTTGTTGAAGATAAAAGAGAGCATCAATCTATTTGTTAAAACTTTTATATTGTACGTAATGTGGGTGCTATTAGTACCTACTAGAAGAGTTAACATTTTGTTATCTTCGGTATACGCTGTCACCGATGTTGTGGACATTCTGAAGAAGAATTGGGCATCCTATTGCTTCAATGAATTGGTGAAATGAATCTGCGACCATAATGCTGATGGGAAAAAGTAAATGCCTGGTTGCTTGCTGTTTTTGGAGGTAAATAATTGCTTATCCCTACTTTCTACATATTCGTAATGATTAATCATCATGTTGAATATAGCTTTTTTGCAGTTAATATTCTTGGAGCATGCAAATGGTATTTCCCACACCATTGATGGAAGTTTGGATTTGATGAGTTGGGGCAGCGGAGACGTAGAGTTATTTTTAACGAAAGTGGTAAGACTGATAGTGAAAAATGGTATATTTGATTCTTTTGACGAGTTGGAGCATGCTAATGGTATATTTGGTTCCCTTTTTAATTAATTTATAGGTTTCAAGCAATTCGTGGAAAAGATCATCCGAGGAAGTAGGTTTGAAATCACCTCCAGGGAAACGACAGAAAAAGACGGGAAATGTCACAAAACCGATGGGGTTGAGCTGCTTTTTTGTGAGTGTATTGATGCTCGGTTTAGTATCATGGAGGCTTGATTTGACGACTTTAATCAAGAATTTAAAGTCGCAATGGGTGATGCTACTTCTAGAGATGAGGAGATAATGTGTCGGGTTATAAAAATGGAGTATGAATTTCAAGCATTTAAGGACAAAATTGGTACTGCAGTGAATTCAATTATAGAGGCAGAGAAAGCAACTACAAGTGACCCGTTGTCAAGGGAGCAGCCTACTGAATTGAAAAAGAACGATATGAAGGATGAGGCTGATAATGTGAAAGCTTCTGCAGTTGACTTGTTGTCAACGGAGCAACTTATCAGAGGGAAAAGGGGCAATCAGAAGGATGAGGTTGAAAAACAAATTGAACCCATTTCTCCTACCTCCGAATGTGTCAAGACTCAAGGGTTAGGTGTTAAGATATCGGGAGAGGCCAAGGGGAAAAGTGGAGATGACAGCTGTTCTGAATCTCCTTCTGTCAAAGTTGTGAAAAAGTCTCATTGCAAGCAGGCGAAAGCATCTAAAGTTGAGAATTCATACTTTTGAGTGATGAAAGTGTTGCTGCTAATGATGGTTGTGCCAAGACTGTGAAGGTATTACACTTGATTAAGTATTCTAATTCTTTATTCTAATGGTGTGGTTACTAATGAACTGGTTTTGTTTTTATGTTTTTGAACAATAAAGAGGCGAAAGGGAGTGGACTACGTAGTGTATCTAAATTGAAGCCTAGTTTGTATGTGGTCTCTCCATTCAAACGGGCAAAATGCCAGAGCTAAGAAAGCACCACCTTTGTACCTTGCTCCTCCCTTTGTTGTTAAGACACAATTGACTCCGGAGGCACTAAAGATGATTCAATTTGCTTTTAGTAGAAAGCTTCCCGGAAGGTAACTCTCGAAATCATTACAAGTAAGATTCGATCATATTTGTAGAATTGTTTTGTTATTTGCCTTATTCTAATGTTGTGGTATTTGAACTTGGTCTTGTATAACAGTGACATGTTGGTTAGTCTTGATGGCGGGTCTCTTCCCTTGCTTCGTGAAAATTTGGTCCAGCTTTTGCCCAAGACCAAAATTTCAACAAGGGTGAGTTCCTTTATGTGTGTAATTTACCAGATTGAACTTGTATTGCTGACTTTGGTATATGTGATGATGATGCATTAGATTATATAAATGGTGTGTCTGTGCAAGACACTAGAAGAACGAAGTTGTGGTCACAGTGGTGGCTTGTCTTGGTTATTTCCACCTTCAGTTTCGGTACAATTATCTGCTTTGTCTATTCTTGTCATGAAATTAATCTATTTGTTTGTTACATGTAGCTTGTGTGAATAACTGTGTTTTCTTTTTTTAGGATCGTCTGTATCATTGCAACGAGGAGCAATTTATGGGTGTCATGGGTTCATATAAGATATGTGAGCAATACCGTATAAATGAGATACTTTACTGTAGTAAGGTATGTTGTAATGTTGTTTTCTAAAAGGAAATGGCTTAACCCTCCTATGATAAATTGATAATTATTGTTTGTTTGTGCATTATTTTAGATTCATGTCCCAATTTTCAACTTCACATTGACCCACTTCTATCTGGCGTTTTTAACTTGGAAACCAAAGAAATTGAAATATGGGACTCAATACTAGGAACTCATAACGAAGAATATGATGCAAGGATGCAGAAACTGGTTTGCTTCTTGTCTTGTTCTTCAAGTTTTCAAACTTGGCTTATTGCTTAGTTGTTAGTTGTTTTTCATTTGCTGACTTTGTCGTTAAATATCGATGAGGGGGATGTTTTCATTTGCAGAAATTGGGTCTAGACTTGTTTCTTAAGGAGGATATCTGCGGATCGTTTTCATTTGTGGACTTTGTGGTTAGATATCGCCAGGATATTGCTTACCAACCAAATGGGTATCCTTTGTTGTTGTTCAATTGTGCACTGTTCTAATTAAGTTCGGTAATTATTTGTTCGCATCTTGACCATGGTTATTATTTTCTATATTACATATTTGATTGTGGACTATTTGTCGCCAATTACTTGTTGGATCCAGATCGATATTCCCAGAAGCTTGACCAGTTCGACAGTGACTATGAATGGACACAACTTACTATGTACTTGCTCACTACCCGTTTGAATGAGGTGCAAGCTATAGTTAAGGCGCAATCAGATGAATATTTTGAGAGTCATGCGAGACCTGCCCGAATTGAAAATTCAACCTTGTCATTTTCACGGTCCGATGCTGGAAACCTCACGACTGTGAGAGTAACCGTGAAACAAGACCTAATATACCCTGCCAGTAGGCAGTTTCACGGCCTCAACAAGGTATTCTCACGCCCGTGAGACTGAGCCGTGAGATTGGGATTTTCTCACGCCTTAAGGATAGAGATTTCACGCCCGTTAGATGGTACCGTGAGAATGAAGAATCATCCCCTAGAGTCCAGGAAACCTCACGGGCTTGAAAGGTGTATCTCACATCCGTGTGATTTTGGGCGTGAGTTAGTGAATGAAAAACCCCATTTTCACGGATCGAACACGCGCCCTTGGCATAATAATTCAAAGTATTGACCAGTCAAACTACCTCATATGTTTTGCTAATTTAATAATCCGTTTGCATTTTAAAACCTATTACTAATTTACCGTATGGTCGTTTGAATACGGGGTTGGGTTGAAACCCATCTACTTGACAACCGATGTGAGATTAGGTTTACGGTATATGGTTCAGTGAGCGTTTGTTTACGGGTTTGGGTATAACCCATCTACTTGTTAACCGATGTGAGATTGGTTGAGGGTATATGGTTGATTGAGTGTTTGATTATGGTTTTGGGTTCAACCCATCTAATTGTGAACCGATGTGGTATTGGGTTTACGATATATGGTTGATTGAGCGTTTGATTATGGTTTTGGGTTCAACCCATGTAATTGTAAACCGATGTGAGATTAGTTTAGGGTATATGGTTGACTGAGCGTTTGATTATGGTTTTGGGTTGAACCCATGTAATTGTAAACCAATGTGAGATTGGTTGAGGGTATATGGTTGAATAAGTGTTTGGTTATGGTTTTGGGTTGAACCCATGTAATTGTGAATCGAAGTGGGATTGGTTTTACGGTATATGGTTGATTGAGCGTTTGATTACGGGTTTGGGTTTAACCCATCTACTTGTTAACCGATGTGAGATTAGTTGAGGGTATGTGGTTGAGTGAATGTTTGATTATGGTTTTGGGTTGAACCCATGTAATTGTGAACTGACGTGGGATTGGGTTTACGGTATATGGTTGATTGAGCGATTGATTATGGTTTTGGGTTCAACCCATGTAATTGTAAACCGATGTGAGATTGGTTTAGGGTATATGTTTTATTGAGCGTTTGATTACGGGTTTGGGTTTAACCCATCTACTTATTAACTGATGTGAGATTTGTTAAGGGTATATGGTTGAGTGACTGTTTGATTATGGTTTTGGGTTGAACCCATGTAATTGTGAGCCGACGTTGGATTGGGTTTACTGTATATGGTTGATTGAGCATTTGATTATGGTTTTGGGTTCAACCCATGTAATTGTAAACCGATGTGAGATTGGTTTAGGGTATATGGTTGATTGAGCATTTGATTATGGTTTTGAGTTTAACCCATCTAATTGTAAACCAATGTGAGATCGATTTACAATATATGGTTGACAGATCGTTTGACTATGGTTTTGGGTTCAACCCATGTAATTGTAAACCGATGTGAGATTGATTTACGATATATGGTTGACTGAGCGTTGACTATGGTTTTGGGTTTAACCCATCTAATTGTAAATCGATGGTTTTTTGGGTCGTTTAATTTTTAACCAAGATAATGAAGAAATTCCTAGATCCCAAACCCTCACCGTCGTAAGTCGTAACTGTGTTGCCGTTCTACCTTATCACCTTCGTCGGCGTTAGAGGACTGATCCTTGGTTCCTCCCTGTCGGCTTCTTCCTTCCTGCTTTCCTCCTTCTATCATCGGTTCTCTCTCATCTATCGTAGGTGGCCAATTCTTGTTTCCCTGCCTCTGCAGGTCACTAGACCGATTTTGTTTCCAAACCTCGGTTCTTAGTTATCATCCTTCGTCGATTCCTTCTCTGGCATCGGCGGTCATCGCACCCGTAGGTCAATTCAGCTTCCGAGCCTTCGCCGGTCAATTCCTGGTCTTGACCTTCTCCTATCTGAGCCGCTGCTCCTAATATGCTATCGCCCTCGGCCAGTCAATTCCTCATATCGGCCTTCTCCTACTGAGTCGCTGTTTCTAATCCTGATTTAGCTTGCTTCCCCTCTTCTCTTAGTCTTCGTTTCCATTAATTATGACTAGCAAAATCTCAGGTGAAAATGGGACAACCAGTCAAATACTATACTATGCTATGCTTTATTGTGAGAAGAATTAGGGGTTACATTTGTGAGGAGAATGGGACAATCATTTCACAGGATGATTGATTCGCTTAGTTCCTAAATTTCTTTTTGACACTAAGTGATTCTTGGTTGTAAGTTCTTGCCATTGATCAGTGTGCTTACTTAGAGGTAACTTGTGCATTCAATTAGCAAGTGTTCTGCTCCTGTGACCCCAAATGAAAGTCAAGTTGTATTACCCTTCTCCTATAGAGTCGCTGCTCCTAATACAAATTTTACACTAATGACTATTACACTAATTCTGGAATTCAAGAAATGTGATGAAAGTCAAGTTGTAGTCATTCTAGAATTCAAGAGTACTTCCATAGAGGGTAAAGAAATCGAGTTTGTTGTCTTCTTTATAGTTTTTTTTTTTGCGTCCTCCTCAGGGTTTGTAGTCAGTTTGATTCTTTTGCTTTTGGTTTTTGTGACTGCCACCATGAATGATAGAATACTAGTTTCATTGATTTTTACCTCATCTCTTGGTAAATGAACTAGGCACCTATGTGGCTTATATGCATATGGCTCTAATCTAGTACAGGCAAGGACACGGGAATTGACTTGAATGTTGGTTTAGATTGGGGAAGGAATTATGGAGATGATACCGGTGGTGTTAGGGATAGTGACGATATGGAGGACAATGTCGACACCAGCAATAGTGATTCTGAGGATGATAATAACACTAACATTGGTGATGATGATAAGGAGAACATCTTAGATGAGCATTTGCACAACTTCGAAACACATCCACACAGCTCAGATACACCTCTATACAAAGATGCTGCAAATCCAGCCAAGGCTCCACCGTCCTCGAGTATGTATGACTCGACCCTGCTTGATAAAGTCGGGAATGGGAAGCCATATGCTAAATGGGAGTCGGATGATGTTGTGGGTTATGAGTTTGAAACCCTTCTAGAGGCTGACAAGTTCTATTCAACTTATGTTTGTGACATGGGATTCAGCGTACGAAAGAACACTCACACATATTCAAAATAAGGAGTTAAAAATATACAACGATGGGTTTTCTCATGCGAGGGGGAGTGTCAGCCAGTGCACAATGACAAGGAGAACAGAAAGCATGAACCTAGGCCTGTAACAAGGCTCCATTTTCCAGCTTCTTTCAAAGTCAATTTGGTCTAGGCAACTAACCGATTCAAGGTGAAGCAGTTTGTACCAACACATTTTCATCACTTAGCTGGAGCACATGAAGTGCAGTTTTTGAGTTCTCATCGCAAGGTAGATGACGCAAGTAAGGCTCAGATTCAATCACTTAGGGCTGTTGGTGTTCGCACCAATCAAATCATGGATTATCTAGTGAATTGTGCGGGAAGGTTTCAGAACTTGAGTTTCACTAAGACTGATGTCTACAATTTTGTTAGTGCAACTACCGATCCTCATTTTTATTGTTGATAAACAGTAAGTTATGGTAATGAACTAGGCAATATGTTATGGGCTGACACTACTTCACAATTGGATTATAGTCTCTCTGGAGATGTTCTTGTTTTTGACTCGACATACAAGACTAATCCATATAATCTTCCATTTCTTCTATTCATTGGTGTGAATCAGAATGCAAGCACTGTTTTTGCATGTGCTTTACTTGCGGATGAAACGGCGGAGAACTACGTATGGATTCTAAATGCTATTTTACATTGCATGGGTGTTAAGAAGCCAATCGCAATTATAACATATGGTTGTTCTTCAATGAGGAAAGCAATCAAGTCGGTTCTTCCTGGGTCCCGACATTGGCTATGTTCTTGGCACTTTGGCAATAACGCAAAAGCACGTGGCCATGCGGAAGGATTCCGGGAGGATTTCAAACAATGCATGCTAAACTGCAGTTCTATTCCACAATTTGAAGCTACGTGGAAGGAAATTTTGTCCAAGTATGCTCTGAAGCAAAATGCGTGGATGAAGAAGATGTATAGGCGACGAGCTCTATGGTCAACAACTTATTTGAAAGGTACTTTCTTTCTGGGATGACTACGTCTCAACGTTGTGAGAGCATGAACTCTTATCTAGACAAATTCTTGCAAAGTAAGATGAAGTTGTTTGAGTTTGTCAAGCAGTTTGACATGGCACTTTTGTATATGAGACAAACTGAGTTACATGACCAATTTAAGACAATACATACTGATGTAGTTCTGATGACACATTTACATGAAATTGAAAGACATGCCTCTATAGTATATACAAGAAATGTGTTCAGGAGCATTCGAGTAGAAATAGCGAGAGAAGTTCATTACTATATTACAGACAAGTGTGTGTTGGCCAATAAAACAATTTATACATTGTCACGATTCAAATACCCCGACTCAAAGTGCACCGTGGTCTTTTACTCGAGGGGACATGATGTGCATTGTTCTTGTGCCATTTTTGAGTTCTGTGGAATTCCATGTTGGCATATATTCTGTATATTGAAAGTATAAAATCAAGTACAGATTCCCAAGTCACTCATTTTGAATCGTTGGACTAAAAATGCAAAAGAGTTCGATCCCTCGAGTATGGGAAGTTGTCCTACCCAGCAAAATATTAGCAGGTATTATACATTTAAGCTGGTGATTTAGTTCTTTGTTTACTTCTATTGTGCTTGGAACCAACTACAAAAGTGCTCGATTATTTGGACAGTTTTGGTTTCTTGGTTGGTCAATGTAGTAGAATGTGCCATTATGCTGTGAGTTCGGATGAAGCATTTCATATTGGCAAACGGTTGATTGAAGACTTAACCTTGCGAGTCAAGACAATGTGAAGCAACAACAAGCAAAACAAATAATGCTTCTATGGATGCTGGAGTGAACTCCTCTTAGTTTATTAAGGACCCCCATCCAGTTCGAAGTAAAGGGAATGTGAAGCAACCTCAAGTGAAAAGACGATTGTGCAAGTATTGTAGGAGTCCTAAACATACGATCAGAAATTGCCCGCTGAAAAGAATGGTTGAAGCAGGTGCAGGTAATAGTCATTTCACGCAACAAGAATACAACTTCGACTCCATAGAAGCAGGTGAAAGCAGCTTTCATGTGGAGACTCAAGAATATGTTCTACTTCCCAAAGGATCCAAGCACAACCTGCAGTGCTGGTTTCCGGGTTTAAAGAACATTATTTCTCATCTTGTAATGTTTGTTTTGTGCAAGTTAGTATCTAGTGACATTGAATGGATCTATGTAATGCCCGCGTCTAACTTCAAAGAACATTATGACTCATCTTTTCATAAACTACATGTTTGAATCCTTGAATTTTACAATGTTATATAGTATTGGTGCTATAGTACAGGTACTCATTTCAATCGCCATTATGATAATTACAGGGGTGTGAATTCTCCCAGCTCGCTGTGTAAATTCTCACGGGCGTAAGAATCACCCGTGTGATGTTTGCATCTGCTAGTTCAAACCCAGGGTCCTCACAGCTTGGTAACTAAATTCTCACACCCGGGAGACGAAGCTGTGAAAACGATAAAAAAATGATCAAAAAAACGCCCGGGAGAATATGCTGTGAGATGGAAACCACTCCCAATTTTCAAGCCTCATAACCGAAATCGCACGGCCGCGAGATGTACCGTTAGATGTAAAAAAATCCATGAAATTCCCAGGGAGTTTCACGGGTTGGAGTTGGTAATATCCCGCCCTGGATAAGACGGCGTGAGATGGAAACCCTAAAAACTAACCTCTGCAGATTAAAATTTGAAACTCCTCTCCCTCTTTTGTTCGAAGCCCCTCTCCCTCTGTTCCATTTTGACTCCCAACCCTCTTTGAACCCTCTTCTCCCTCGTTGTGAAAACTTCCCATCGTCAGGGGCTCATCTCGGAAGAGAAGAAATCGCAGGTAACTTGAATTTTGTTTTGGGTATTGCTGTGTTTTGTGATCTTATCGGTTCTCCCACTCTCAACCTCTTCTCCTACCTCACCCTCTTCCCTTCCAGGATTCCACTTTGCCACGATTCCCCTCCCTTAGTTCCCCTCGATCTCCCGCAAGCTCTCGCCCAGTATTAGGGCGAACCAGCAACTCGTAGCTTTTCCAACCCCGAGAAGTCGAAGCTGTAGCTAAAGCCACAAGCTAAACCAGCAATCTAGAACTCTGTATGGGAGTGACACAGACGTTAAACTCTGTACTTCACTTCTAGTGAGTTCTGAACCAGAGCGCCACTCTTCTCTGGTTTCTTGCATTTTTTAGGGTTTAGTTGCCCAAGGTTTTTATTGCACTCCGACCTACGCCTACGCATTGGTAGGTTACCCATTCCATGTCGATGCATTCTATATCACATTTTTCTTTGTATGTCTATCTTCGATAATGAGTCTAAGTTCATGCGAGGTTCAGCCTGGATATATAATCTCCCATTCTCACATGCATTATCAATTAACAGATTGTTTTATTGGTCCATTTTTCTGTATTTGTTCACATAGCAGAACATGTGTTACAATAGGATTATACCACTCTACCAAAAGATGCAACCCTTGCTGCAATTTCTTCACTGCATAGGATTACATAAAGATTTCTTACACTTCATGGCAGGATAGAAATTGTGATGAAGTGGATCTAATTGATTTTCATTTGGCTCTTTCAATTCCCTTTCTTTTGCTACTATGTTACAGAAAAAAAAAACACATATCAAATTCCCTTTCATTTAGCTTTTTTAATTCATGCCAGAAGAACTTTCCATCATTATTAGGTAGTCAGTAGAAAAAACAGTTCATCTTGCTTTATTCACTCTTCAATTAGAAATACAATGCAGAAATTTTGTAATCTACTTCAAGGCTGCTGGCTTTTGCAGTGAGCATTGACATGGTTCTGACTGATCATGATGGTGTAAAACTAGAGTTAGTGAGGTCTGTATTAGCGTGTTAATGCTATGAAATTATCACGGTTTTTTAGTTGTGCTCTGTGTTGAGCCCTTTTTGCTGCATTGCTTCTACTGATCTGAACTACCATTATAGTATTGGCCTTTTGAGGCAGGTGGCTTATACAATGAGCAAGGCGTTCTTAGTAGTGCAAGGATGGTTAGACTGCTGCATGGCTGGAGTACCTTCTTTGATTCTGACAATATGAATTTTCTATTCTCTGTTGAATGTTGCTTCCAATTGGTTAGCTTGTTTCCCCTTTTCCAGCAAGACAACATGTATACGTGTTCTTTGTTCATGGTCTTGCATTAGTTTACTTCAATGCTTACAGTACAATTTGAATAATGGCTTTGAATACCATATGCAATATATGATATGAAATGCATATATGTGAAGTGGAGTTGAACTAGTTTACTATTGAGTGTAACATATACTCAATACCTAAGGTCTGCAAGTCTATATCTTCCAGTATTTTTGTTGAAAACTGGAATTCATACCAGATTTCGTGTTTTGTGAATTGTTTATGCTTATGCACAATTCTTTTCCCTCTCATTTACTAAAGACTAAATGTGTTGAGTTGGTTTTTGTAGGAATGGCTCGAGCTAAACAAAAACACACGCAACCATCAGCCTCACCTGCCAAAGTGAAGGCTCCTTCTCGTCGTTGCCACCAAACCCAACAACGGGACACTCCCCCCAAACGAAAACGCAAAAACAACCAAGGACGGGCACGTCAACCATCTCCACCACCACCACCACAACCGGAGGCTCAACTTGGAGGAGGGGCACTACACGAATTCCTCCAACTACCCGAAAAACATAAGAGGGCTTTGGAACGCTTCCTTCCCCTCCCATTTGGGCAGCAAAGATGCTTTGATTGGGGTCTCCTAGAGCGCCTCGGAGGAGAGGACCCCATTCGCACATGCCTCCGTCTACAGGCATGGTGTGAGGTTCTCTCCATCGATGAGGTCATCTACCGAGAGCTTACCATTGAGTTTCTCAGTACTCTTTCCATCAAGTATATAATCGAGTTTAACCTCGACAAGCCCAAAGACAACATAACTTTTCACTGGGATGAGTTCCTGTGCTTAAGCCCAAAAGTTTAAGCATATGCTTAAAGGCTTCTTATTGGCTGAAAGGAGATTATTAGGTGGTTAATAAGAAGTTAGTAGTTATTAGGTGGTTAAGGGTATTGAGGTAAATTGTGTAATTTAATTATTTGAATTTTAACTTAATATTCTAATCAATATCAAGCTTTTGGCTTACCCTAATCAAATCCCAAAGGCCGCCGGTAGCTAGGGTTATATTTTTCAGCGACCTTCACCTTTCTCTTCGCAGGACCCAGCAACCTTCCGCGCTCGTCGCCCTTGCACACGGTCACGTTCCCCTCTTCCCCAAACGCCGTGTAAGCCGGTCGCATTCCCCTTCTTGTCTGGTTGCACTGATATCTTCCGGCACACGCGTCAGCTTTGCCGTTTATGATGATCCCGACGGTTAGTTGCTTTCGCCTTAGCATAACTGGCTGCGTTTTTTTGTGCGTCTGTTTATAATTTTATAGGCCATTGCATGCTGCTTCTAGCGAGCGTTGTTCGTCGGCGTCCTCCTGGTTTTTTTGGTC